TACGTCTGTCCCCAATACGTCTGACCCCAGTACGTCTGTCCCCAGAACGTCTGTCACCAATACGTCTGGCCCCAGTACGTCTGACCCCAGTACGTCTGACCCCAGTACGTCTTGTACGAGGTGTATCGGAGACGACGAGGTGGGGGGAAGGAGGAAGAGTAAGGCTGAGAAATTGCCAGGAGGTGGGGAGGGGGAAGATAAGAGAAACGAGCTGCATGTTGGGGAGGAGTAAATGGAAAGAAGAGCGTGGGAAGGAAGGAAGGAAGGAAGGAAGGAAGGAAGGAAGGAAGGAAGGAAAGAAGGAAGTAGGTTGGGGGAGAGAAGGAAAGGAGCAGCGTGGAGAGAAACAAAGGGTGAGGGGGGGGGGGAAGAGTACGACGAACAGCTTGAGGAGAACCAGTTTTTTTTGTTTTCTACCACAGACGTGGCCACACATTTACAATGCTAACCAGCATATATACATTTTCTTCAGTCCTCCATGGACAGGGTGAGAGATGTGTTAAACATATAGTTCAAGGGTTTATTGAACAATCAACCACAGAAGGCGAGTCGGTGCTTTTAAAAAGAACCAGTAAGAGAGCGACGACAGGTTACAGAAGTAATATTCATAACACGACACAAACGACAGGTTCTGGGAGAGGTGGAGCAGACTTTGTGTTTGATTCTTCAGTTACAGTAAACAGCCGCGTGATGAGACTCGTCCACAAGACAGCACTAATGCACATCTTACACTTTCTCGACAGCAGTGGTTACAAAACTTGATAGGATAGGAAGTATAACTTTGTTTGTAACCAATCTTGTGTAACCTGCTCCATATTCTTCTCTGAACTTGTTGACAAGGCAGAGAATCATGCCAGACGAAATATAGCTTCAAGTCTTGACCCGTTCTGGTTGAACAAGTCAGTATAAACTACATCAGAACATTCAACACAGGAGTGAAGGTGGCCTAACCATTATGTATACAAGCCTAATTTCTTTTTTTTTTGTCATCAACTTCGTGAAGAACCAAAGATGACAACTACAACACAGCTCAACAGTCATCAACAATAACTTCACTCTGCAACATTCTCAAAAACATCACTCCATTCCTGGGCGGAAGAAAGTATTTATCACAAGACGGCCCCAACAGTCACTTCTGTACTGACGTGTATTTTCGAAAAATTCCATCCCCCCGACCACAAAAAGGCTCTGGTACACAGCTCCAGCTTTACTTAAGCCAAATTTGGCTGTAGCCTATCAGTAGATATAGCATTTGTCTGTTAAAAATATTCATATTAAATAGATCAATATTTAGGGTAAGGTTTTAAATCCAGATAAAGTAAGAGAACTTATATTGTTGTATTATTTTAACACTATTATTAAATCCTAGTCTTAGTTGAGAGAGAAAAAATGAAAGTCACAGTTGCATTTTATTATGAACACACACACACACACACACACACACACACACACACACACACACACACACACACACACACACACACACACACACACACACACACAAAGACCTAGACAGGAATATGATAGAAACAACATGGCCACCATTAACATAATAGAAAGAGCAGCTTCTGTTGCTAGCAGGAATGGATCTGGACTACTAATTATGGGAGACTTCAACCATGGGAAGATTGATTGGAAGAACAGAGACCCGCATGGAGGACCAGAAACATGGAGAGCTAAGCTGCTGGACGTGGCAACAAGAAACTTTCTAAGCCAGCACACCAAAGAACCAACAAGAATGAGAGGAGAAGATGAACCAGCAATGCTTGATTTGATATTTACCCTAAATGAATGGGATATAAGGGAAGTTAAGATGGAAGCGCCCTTGGGAATGAGTGACCACAGTGTATTGAACTTTGAGTACCTGGTAGAACTAGGACTTATCTCCCCCCAAAAAGAACTAGGAATCAAAAGGCTGGCATACCGAAAGGGGAATTATGAACAGATGAGAAGTTCCTAAGTGAAATACCTTGGGACACAGACCTCAGAGACAAGTCTGTACAGGGTATGATGGACTATGTTACCCAAAAGTGTCAGGAGGCAGTAAACAGGTTCATCCCGGCCCAAAGGGAAAAATCCGAGAAGCAACAGAAGAATCCATGGTATAATAGGGCATGTATGGAAGCGAAGAAACTGAACAAAAAGGCGTGGAGGAACTTCCGGAATAACAGAACACCAGAAAGCAGAGAGAGATACCAGAGAACAATGAGTACGTCAGGGTGAGAATAGAAGCAGAGAAAAATTTTGAAAATGATATAGCAAACAAAGCCAAGACCGAACCAAAGCTACTCCACAGTCACATCAGAAGGAAAACAACAGTGAAAGAACAGGTATTGAAACTTAGAACAGGCGAGGACAGGTATACAGAGAATGACAGAGAGGTGTGTGAGGAACTCAACAAGAGGTTCCAGGAGGTCTTCACAATAGAACAGGGTGAGGTCACTGTGCTAGGAGAAAGGGAGGTAAACCAGGCGGCCTTGGAGGAGTTCGAAATTACGAGAGAGGAGGTCAAGAGACACCTGCTGGATCTGGATGTTAGAAAGGCTGTTGGTCCAGATGGGATCTCACCATGGGTACTGAAAGAGTGTGCAGAGGCACTTTGCTTGCCACTCTCCATAGTGTATAGTAAGTCACTAGAGACGGGAGATCTACCAGAAATATGGAAGACGGCGAATGTGGTCCCAATATACAAAAAGGGCGACAGACAAGAGGCACTGAACTACAGGCCAGTGTCCTTGACTTGTATACCATGCAAGGTGATGGAGAAGATCGTGAGAAAAAACCTGGTAACACATCTGGAGAGAAGGGACTTCGTGGCAAATCGCCAACATGGATTCAGGGAGGGTAAATCTTGCCTTACAGGCTTGATAGAATTCTACGATCAGGTGACACAGATTAAGCAAGAAAGAGAGGGCTGGGCGGACTGCATTTTCTTGGATTGTCGGAAAGCCTTTGACACAGTACCGCATAAGAGGCTGGTACATAAGCTGGAGAGACAGGCAGGTGTAGCTGGTAAGGTGCTCCAGTGGATAAGGGGTTATCTAAGCAATAGGAAGCAGAGAGTTACGGTGAGGGGTGAGACCTCCGACTGGCGTGAAGTCACCAGTGGAGTCCCACAGGGCTCTGTACTCGGTCCTATCTTGTTTCTGATATATGTAAATGATCTCCCGGAGGGTATCGATTCATTTCTCTCAATGTTTGCGGACGATGCTAAAATTATGAGAAGGATTAAAACAGAAGAGGACTGTTTGAGGCTTCAAGAAGACCTAGACAAGCTGAAGGAATGGTCGAACAAATGGTTGTTAGAGTTTAACCCAACCAAATGTAATGTAATGAAGATAGGTGTAGGGAGCAGGAGGCCAGATACAAGGTATCATCTGGGAGAGGAAATTCTTCAGGAGTCAGAGAAGGAAAAAGACTTGGGGGTTGATATCACGCCAGACCTGTCTCCTGCAGCACATATCAAGCGGATAACATCAGCGGCATATGCCAGACTGGCCAATATACGAACGGCATTCAGAAACTTGTGTAAAGAATCATTCAGAACTTTGTATACCACATATGTCAGACCAATCCTGGAGTATGCAGCCCCAGCATGGAGTCCATATCTAGTCAAGGATAAGACTAAACTGGAAAAGGTTCAAAGGTTTGCCACCAGACTAGTACCCGAGCTGAGAGGTATGAGCTACGAGGAGAGACTACGGGAATTAAACCTCACTTCGCTGGAAGACAGAAGAGTTAGGGGGGACATGATCACCACATTCAAGATTCTGAAGGGGATTGATAGGGTAGATAAAGACAGTCTATTTAACACAAGGGGAACACGCACAAGGGGACACAGGTGGAAACTGAGTGCCCAAATGAGCCACAGAGATATTAGAAAGAACTTTTTTAGTGTCAGAGTGGTTGACAAATGGAAGGCATTAGGGGGTGATGTGGTGGAGGCTGACTCCATACACAGTTTCAAGTGTAGATATGACAGAACCCGATAGGCTCAGGAATCTGTACACCTGTTGATTGACGGTTGAGAGGCGGGACCAAAGAGCCAGAGCTCAACCCCCGCAAACACAACTAGGTGAGTACAACTAGGTGAGTACACACGCGCACACACGCACATGAACCTAGGAGGAGGAACTAGGAGGCCAGTCACTGGATACCGAATGGGGGATGAAGTCCTTCACGCAACGGACAGAAAGATCTAGGAGTTGATATCACACCAAACCTGTCTCCTGAAGCCCACATCTAAAGAATAACATCTCCGGCCTATGCGAGGCTGGCTAACATCAGAACTTCTTTCAGAAACCGGTGTTAGCAATCTTTCAGAACCTTGTATACCACATATACTCCAGGCCAATCCTGGAGTATGCAGCCCCAGCATGGAGCCCGTATCCGGCATACCAAGCTGGAAAATGTCGAGAGGTATGCCACTAGGCTAGTCCCAGAACTAAGTGGCATGATTTATGAGGACATACTACGTGAACTGCACCTCACGTCGCTGGAAGACAGAAGAGCTAGGGAAGACATGATCACCACATACAAAATTCTCAGGGGAATTGACAGAGCGGACAAGGATGGATTATTTAACATGGGTGGTACACGAACAAGGGGACACAGGTGGAAGCTGAGTACCCAAATGAGCCACAGAGACATTAGAAAGAACTTTTTCAGTGTCAGAGTAGTTAATAAATGGAATGCACTAGGAAGTGATGTGGTGGAGGATGGCTCCATACACAGTTTCAAATGTAGATATGACAGAGCCGAATAGACTCAGGAATCTGTACACCAGTTGATTGACGGTTGAGAGGCGGGACCAAGGAGCCAAAGCTCAAACCTCGCAAGCACATTAGGTGAGTACAACTAGGTGAGTACACACACACACATTAACTCTATAATAATTATTCGCAAACAAAAGAAAGCACCAATGAATAATAAATGTAATTTTACCACTATATAGAAGTCAATCAAGTTAATAACAATCAATGAAGGGTTGATGGACTTACCCTTAAGGGAGCTGTTAGCAGCACGTCTCGTGGGCGGCCACAACGGCAATCTGAAAGCACACAGATATGCTAATTACCATTGAAACACAATCCTATGTGGGTATTCAGCCTTCAGTGTGTGTGTGTGTGTGTACTCACCTATTTGTACTCACCTATTTGTGTTTGCGGGGGTTGAGCTTTGGCTCTTTGGTCCCGCCTCTCAACTGTCAATCAACTGGTGTACAGATTCCTGAGCCTATTGGGCTCTATCATATCTACATTTGAAACTGTATGGAGCCAGCCTCCACCACATTACTGCCTATTGCATTCCATTCGATAACTACTCTGACACTGAAAAAGTTCTTCCTAATATCTCTGTGGCTCATTTGGGCACTCAGTTTCCACCTGTGTCCCCTTGTTCGTGTGCCCCTTGTGTTAAATAGCCTGTCTTTATCTACCCTATCAATTCCCTTGATAGGGTATTCCACAAATAATAGAAAATATTGATTTGTATATGTTAACTAAGCCAAATTTGCTGCAAAGAGTACATTGTTGTTACTGCTCTCAACTCTACCCCAAAGTAATTATATATATATATATATATATATATATATATATATATATATATATATATATATATATATATATATATATATATATATATATATATGTCGTACCTAGTAGCCAGAACGCACTTCTCAGCGTACTATGCAAAGCCCGATTTGCCTAATAAGCCAAGTTTTCCTGAAATAATATATTTTCTCTAATTTTTTTCTTATGAAATGATAAAGATACCAATTTCATTATTTATGTGTGTGTGTGTGTGTGTGTGTGTGTGTACTCACCTAGTTGTACTCACCTAGTTGTGTTTGCGGGGGTTGAGCTCTGGCTCTTTGGTCCCGCCTCTCAACCGTCAATCAACAGGTGTACAGATTCATGAGCCTATCGGGCTCTGTCATATCTACACTTGAAACTGTGTATGGAGTCAGCCTCCACCACATCACTTCCTAATGCATTCCATTTGTCAACCACTCTGACACTAAAAAAGTTCTTTCTAATATCTCTGTGGCTCATTTGGGCACTCAGTTTCCACCTGTGCCCCCTTGTGCGTGTTCGCCTTGTGTTAAATAGACTGTCTTTATCTACCCTATCAATCCCCTTCAGAATCTTGAATGTGGTGATCATGTCCCCCCTAACTCTTCTGTCTTCCAGCGAAGTGAGGTTTAATTCCCGTAGTCTCTCCTCGTAGCTCATACCTCTCAGCTCAGGTACTAGTCTGGTGGCAAACCTTTGAACCTTTTCCAGTTTAGTCTTATCCTTGACTAGATATGGACTCCATGCTGGGGCTGCATACTCCAGGATTGGCCTGACATATGTGGTATACAAAGTTCTAATAAGCCAAGTTTGTTATCCTGATAAGGAGACAGGTAATCTTTTTCCTTCTCTGACTCCTGAAGAATTTCCCAGATGATACTTGTATCTGGCCTCCTGCTCCCTACACCTATTTCATTCATTACATTTGGTTGGGTTAAATCTAACAACCATTTGTTCGACCATAGCTTGTCTAGGTCTTCTTGAAGCCTCAAACAGTCCTCTTCTGTTTTACCTTCTCATATTTTAGCATCGTCCGCAAACATTGAGAGAAATGAATCGATACCCTCCGGGAGATCATTAACATATATCAGAAACAAGATAGGACCGAGTACAGAGCCCTGTGGGACTCCACTGGTGACTTCACGCCAATCGGAGGTCTCACCCCTCACCGTAACTCTCTGCTTCCTATTGCTTAGATACTCCCTTATCCACTGGAGCACCTTACCAGCTACACCTGCCTGTCTCTCCAGCTTATGTACCAGCCTCTTATGCGGTACTGTGTCAAAGGCTTTCCGACAATCCAAGAAAATGCAGTCCGCCCAGCCCTCTCTTTCTTGCTTAATCTGTGTCACCTGATCGTAGAATTCTATCAAGCCTGTAAGGCAAGATTTACCCTCCCTGAATCCATGTTGGCGATTTGTCACGAAGTCCCTTCTCTCCAGATGTGTTACCAGGTTTTTTCTCACGATCTTCTCCATCACCTTGCATGGTATACAAGTCAAGGACACTGGCCTGTAGTTCAGTGCCTCTTGTCTGTCGCCCTTTTTGTATATTGGGACCACATTCGCCGTCTTCCATATTTCTGGTAGGTCTCCCGTCTCTAGTGACTTACTATACACTATGGAGAGTGGCAAGCAAAGTGCCTCTGCACACTCTTTCAGTACCCATGGTGAGATCCCATCTGGACCAACAGCCTTTCTAACATCCAGATCCAGCAGGTGTCTCTTGACCTCCTCTCTCGTAATTTCGAACTCCTCCAAGGCCGCCTGGTTTACCTCCCTTTCTCCTAGCACAGTGACCTCACCTGTTCTATTGTGAAGACCTCCTGGAACCTCTTGTTGAGTTCCTCACACACCTCTCTGTCATTCTCTGTATACCTGTCCTCGCCTGTTCTAAGTTTCAATACCTGTTCTTTCACTGTTGTTTTCCTTCTGATGTGGCTGTGGAGTAGCTTTGGTTCGGTCTTGGCTTTGTTTGCTATATCATTTTCAAAATTTTCTCTGCTTCTCTTCTCACCCTGACGTACTCATTCCTGGTTCTCTGGTATCTCTCTCTGCTTTCTGGTGTTCTGTTATTCCGGAAGTTCCTCCACGCCTTTTTGTTCAGTTTCTTCGCTTCCATACATGCCCTATTATACCATGGATTCTTCTGTTGCTTCTCGGATTTTTCCCTTTGGGCCGGGATGAACCTGTTTACTGCCTCCTGACACTTTTGGGTAACATAGTCCATCATACCTTGTACAGACTTGTCTCTGAGGTCTGTGTCCCAAGGTATTTCACTTAGGAAACTTCTCATCTGTTCATAATTCCCCTTTCGGTATGCCAGCCTTTTGATTCCTAGTTCTTTTTGGGGGGAGATAAGTCCTAGCTCTACCAGGTACTCAAAGTTCAATACACTTTGGTCACTCATTCCCAAGGGCGCTTCCATCTTAACTTCCCTTATATCCCATTCATTTAGGGTAATATCAAATCAAGCATTGCTGGTTCATCTTCTCCTCTCATTCTTGTTGGTTCTTTGGTGTGCTGGCTTAGAAAGTTTCTTGTTGCCACGTCCAGCAGCTTAGCTCTCCATGTTTCTGGTCCTCCATGCGGGTCTCTGTTCTTCCAATCTATCTTCCCATGGTTGAAGTCTCCCATAATTAGTAGTCCAGATCCATTCCTGCTAGCAACAGAAGCTGCTCTTTCTATTATGTTAATGGTGGCCATGTTGTTTCTATCATATTCCTGTCTAGGTCTTCTGTCATTTGGTGGTGGATTATATATGACTGCGACTATAATTTTTTTCCCTCCATTTGTTACAGTACCTGCTATGTAGTCACTGAAACCTTCGCAGCCCTGAATATCCATCTCCTCAAAATCCCAGCCTTGTCTTACCAGCAGAGCTACACCACCCCCACCTCTTCCTTCCCTCTCTTTCCTCATAACATATAGTCCTGTGGGAACACTGCATTTGTTATCGTATTCGTGATCTTTGTTTCTGTGAGGGCTATTATGTCTGGGTTTTCCTCTAGTACCAGTTCTCCAAGCTCATTTGCTTTATTTGTAATTCCATCTATGTTTGTGTACATCGCTTTGAGGCTCACTTTCTTCTGTCCCTTCTCAAATGGTGTGTGTGTGTGTGTGGGGGTGGCTGTTCCATGGGTGTGAGGACCTGTGAGGTGGTTGTGTGCTGTGTCTCCAATTAGTGTGTGTGTGTGTGTGTGTGTGTGTGTGTGTGTGTGTGTGTGAGAAAGCTGCATGAACGCGCAAGCCATATATCACTAAGAACTCTTTGATCCGGCCAGGGTTCGAACCCATGCCGTCCAGGATCACCCCTAAACGTACACAGTACCGTGACCACCGCACCAATGATCGTCTATCATTGGTGCGGTGGTCACGGTACTGTGTACGTTTAGGGGTGATCCTGGACGGGACAAAGAGGTCTTAGTGATTATATATATATATATATATATATATATATATATATATATATATATATATATATATATATATATATATATATAGACTGAAAACTCACACCCCAGAAGTGACTTGAACCCATACTGCCAGGAGCAACGCAACTGGTATCTACAGGACGCTTTAATCCGCTTGACCATCACGACCGGACATAAGGATGGGTTCGAGTCACTTCTGGGGTGTGAGTTTTCAGTCGCATATAGTCCTGGGGACCATTCAGGCTTGTTCGCATATATATATATATATATATATATATATATATATATATATATATATATATATATATATATATATATTTAGTGTGTAAGAGAAGAGAGAGAGAGAGAGAGAGAGAGAGAGAGAGAGAGAGAGAGAGAGAGAGAGAGAGAGAGAGAAGCAAATCAATTTTCGTTAGCCCCAAAAAGTTCATTTATATGATAAAAAATGGTGATCTTTGGCTAATGAACTTCCTTCGTATTTCCAGGCACACAAACACCCTATATTCCCCCCCCCCCCCCCCTCCTGACACCGACCTTTTGTCCCCTCCCCCCTGTCTCTTGCCCCCTCTCCCTTCCCATATTTCCCCTTTCCCTCTACACCATACCGCTTCCCTCTCCCACACCCTCACTTCCCTTTGTTCCTGCGGCTTCCCTCTACTCCTTTAACCCTTATGTCCTCTGCATCCTTCCCTTACTCATTTTTCTACTTCTCCTTGCCCGCTTTCCCACTTCCCTTTCCTCCTCTCCTTTCTGTCTCCTCCCCTCTTACATGTAACACTGTAAAAGTGTTTGGTTTAGTTTAATACATACATAGAGTACATGAGTCATAGACAGGGATTAGAGAAGGCGCCAGTTTGTCCACCGGAAAGTCACACCTCTAAAAGTTAATGACCTCAAGTGACCTGAGGTCAGATCATGAGAATTTCACCTTGCTTCCGCTAATCTTATAATTGTAGCCTGTTAGCCTTCAAACATGCCGACGTTAAGGAGTGGCTTGGTAGAGAGCCGGAGGCTATCTACTTGTGGGCGGAGTTAGTTACTAGG